TAATCTATTCTCGTAATTGTTTTGGGGTTATATTAAACCTTTCTGCAGTATTTTATTTGCTAGCCATGAGATTTTGTGAGTGTGTTCTACAAGACTAATACCGTAAATCGCTGTATACAAGATCCGGGTTTGTTATATTCTACCAATTTTAAAACTTACAATAGACCTGTGGGTCTATTGTACGAATATGGATCTGATGATCGGGGAGTTTTATGTGGGGGGTCTAATAATTGGTGAAATTTTTATGTAGGCGTTCAGTACTAAGTAGTACATGCATCATATGCACAAAAGATTTATTTAATATGAATTGCAGTTTTTATTCCTTAAAGTCACTCAAACCCATATTATGTATAGCATAGCAAAGAATGAAAACAAAGTCAACCTTACTCGAAGCAATGTGTGAAAACTTTCAATGACGAAAGAGACCACAAGTTCGATTACAAAGAACATTTTTTTTTTTTTTTAAAAAAAAAAAAAAAACATAAAATAAAATAAATAAAATAAACATAAAAAAAAAAAATAAGAACTTGACATTAAAGAATAAATCACTAAAGTCTGTGGCATTATAATGAATCTCTTAAGGCCTAGCGAATCATTAGAAATTAATCCAAATGACCTGTTCAATTTTCATTTTTTGAACAAAATCCGTGGCAATTACATTAAAATAGAAGTCTCATGTATAGAAAGATTATGCTTAGACTGTAATTCAGAGTTTACAGCTAAACAACATATGAGAAATGAAGCCAAAGGATGGTTATTTCACGATGATAAAAAATTAAAGGTAAGGAGCTTACCAACTTTGTGAAAAACTTATTATATAAATTAGTAAATCAAAAAGGTATAAAGAAATTTAATGCTTAATAAGAAGCTAAAATTAGCGTTAGTGATTGTAATCGATTAGAGAACTTATAAACTAACCAAATATTAGAGAACACCTTACAGAGTCAAACACAAGTCATTTAGTTATGTAAATTTTTTTAATTTACCAATCTTTGAAAAAAAACTTTATATGTCGGGAAACCATTTGTTAATTTGTCCAAGGCATGAATTATAGGCATACAAATATCACAGATTATGATAGAATTGACTTATTAGCATAATTAACATATGTAAAATTTATTTTATCGATTTTCTTATATATTAGTTCAAACAAATTGTCACGCTTTATATTTCTATTGTGTTCAAGTTTTTTAATGAAAAGGTAATGGATAAAATTTTATTGAAATTAACGTGAAAGTATTAACGCGAGGTAACATGATTAATATTTATTTAAGCGTCAAAAAATAAGACATAATATAACAGGATTAAAACAAGCCAAAGTTACCAAAAAAAAAAGAGAAGTTGGAACGTTTGTGAAAAGTTGGCGATCATTACGTACCTCAAACAAAATCTCATGGCTAGCAAATAAAATACTGCAGAAAGGTTTAATATAACCCCAAAACAATTACGAGAATAGATTA